GACCCCAAGGTCAGCAAAATTGGGGTTTATGGGATAGGGGGAGTGGGAAAGACCACTCTAGTTAAAGAAGTTGCCAAACGAGTTAAGGATGACAAGCTGTTTGATGCGGTGGTTTTGGTAACTATATCCCAAACAAATCTTGAAAGAATTCAAGATGAGATTGCAGAACAATTAGGCCTTCATTTAGAAGAGATGACCTCATCAATTGGAAGAGCCAGCCGATTGTGTGAGAGGATAAAAAAAGAGAAAAGTATCCTCATCATACTAGATGATTTGCAGGGAAAAATTGATTTGGACAAGTTAGGCATCCCTTCTTCAGATACATGGGTAAAAATTAATCCTGAACAGGTGGGAGTTCCTCTAAAAGATTATTACAAGGGTTGCAAATTATTATTGACTTCAAGGAGTCAAGATGTTTTACACAAAAATGATACTCAAAAGAACTTCTCCCTTCAAGTTTTGAATGATGAAGAATCATGGAGCTTGTTTGAAGCTATAGTTGGTGATGTTGTTAAAGACGCTACTTTCCGAACTATAGCAACCCAAGTGGCTCAAAGGTGTGCAGGCTTGCCAGTTTTGATAGTCGCAACTGCCAAGTCATTAAAAGATAAGAACATCCACCATTGGAAAGATGCCTTGAACAATCCAGAAGAGGTTGATAACAAAGACATGCGTGACACCCTTATTGGCTAATAATTAGTGGACGTATAACTTGCAAGAGTTTTACTATAACTCAGTAGTTTGGTGTCCTCATCGTTTAATTTGTTTTCCCAGGGAACGTCGAATACCGATGTTTCATCCATCATTTAATCATGTCTCTTAATGTATCTTTGCTTGTCTTTCCAATAGATTTCTGTCATCTGTCAACTTCAGATTCTTTGAATCAACATGATGTACCAAAAACTTCTATAACATCTGAGTGTGCATTATTTCTTGCAATTATTAGATAGATATGAAGGGTAATTCAGATAGAGACAAAAATTTTAGTGAATCGCACATGTTAGGTGGTAATCTGTTTTTTTTTTTGGCAAAAAAAAAAACACAGTCCGCTTTATTAATAACCAAAACAAAATATTAATACGCGCCAGTAGCCGAAGCTGAGAAAAGAAAAAGCACTCAAAAAGCCCTATACAACAAAATCTGAGAAAGAAAAAACACATAGCTAACCAGATATACAGCAACAATATAGAAAGAGAAAAAATATAGAAATAATATAATATGAAAAACAGAGGCGTATATGTACAGTACCATATGAAAGCAATATAAAAGCAATATATTCAAAAACTATCAGGCAATACCACTCCTTTCTTCATTTAAAAACTTCCTCAGTCTTTCGATTTCTTTCGTCAACAGTGACTAGAGTTTGCTAGAGGAGGTGATGGTGTCTCCACCCACCTAATTTGGGATAACTCTCTACCAAAAGCAACAGCAATAATCCAGTCAGCTGCCTCATCTCCCTTCCTAGGTGTCAGGGGCAAACTCAAATCAGGTTCATTTACAAGTAGTGGAATCATTATTAGAACTCACAAACCAAATCGAAGAAATATACTACATTTAGTTTTTAACATAAGATCCAGAATCCAATTTACTTTGTTACCAATATTTATTTATTTTGCCCCCATGTTATTCTTATAGTGATCACACATGTTAAGGAGTTTTCATTAATAGATAGTTCTAATACACATAATTAACAATGATATTTTAAAAAAAGGACAACGTTCATTTATTACAAATAACTAACTTAACTAATTTTTTTAATATTCACAAATTAGTTATAGATTAGGTTGATTACATTTTGAGGAGTATGAATTAAGGGCATTTCTTGAGTCCAAATATCTGAATCATGTAATAATTTTAGAACATTAAAAGATTTCAGTGGACCTAATTGTTGGTGAATGCAAGGAATACTATGACAAAGATTGATTAACCATAACAAAGTTGCTCTGAATTAATTATGCTGAAGTGGAGACTATATAGGTACGAATAGATTATGTCAAACCTTAGTGTGTTTTGGGCAGCATGAATCTAGAGTCTCTCAATGATTTTACATATTTCGAGCTCGAAAAGTTACAGTGAGCTAAAAGAAGTAAAATTTGATTTAAAATTATAACAAAATATTTAAGTAAAATAAAGATGGATTACTTCCAACTAAAATGTAAAGCAACATCACTTTCTCCGTTGTTGTATAGAGGTTGTGATTTGTTGAATTGAATTCACGACGAATAATTTCTTATGCCGCGTGAAACAAATTTGAGTTAAACACTAATTAAAAAGTTATAATTAATATTACCTCTAGTCCTTAATATAAGATATATATATAACTAATTTTGATAGATTAAGAAAATTAGTTAAGTTAATTAATTGTAACAGATGTGAGTTGATTTACCTAAACTACCCTCTTTAATTATATGCATTTACACTATTCATTGGGAATCCTTAAAATCAATAAAGATATTTTAGATAGAACATTATGGATTTGGGGGACAAAATAGATTGAATTTGATCATATTTATGATCAAATTCAATCTCTTAACTAGCTCTTATATTAAGAATTGGACATAGTAATGAATTTAGTCAAATAGTACAAAATCACGAGGTCGGAGCTAGCAGGGAGTGCCTACTCTGTCTTGTTTTCATCAATTTTCGTCATTCCTTTTTAACAGCAGCACGCCTTCTCCAGATTCCAAATTTTTCTTTTGATAATTATGGAGACTAACATCACAAAATGCTGTCATTATCGAGTTGATAAAACACATTTGTCTCCCTTGCCTTTCGCTTCAGTTCCAAAAGATAATAGGAGAAATCAAACTAACTCTTTGCAGCTTATGGGCAGTAATTAAAGGTAAAAATTGCTTAACATATTCTTTTCTTCTAGCCTGACTTAATATCTCCCGTACCACAATCCAGAACCATGTAATTAAAATAGTACCCTGAGAAAGACATAGCATTGCTAATGTTTATTATTGCAACATATTATAGCATTGTCTATAATATTGTGCTGTAGAAAGACCACAAAACCGGCATATAAAAGTAAATATATAGTGTTGAAAAAGAAAATGTCAAAGCAGGTAGCTCAAAGAGATTTTCAAACCATATTATTATTAAAACAGTGCTCTGAGAAGGATAACACTACAAAAAAATTGACTTTCAGCGGCGACATTGAAAGTACAAAAGTCACCGCCGAAAGTTTTTTGCGGCGACAAGTCACCGCTGAAAAGTCGTTGCCATAGTAGCCGTGGCTGAAAACTTTCAGTGGCAACTAAAAAGGTCGCCGCTAAAAGATACTTTCAGTGGCGACTTTTAGAAGTTTCGGCGGCCACAAAACACTTTTAGCCGCGACAAATGTCGCCGCCGAAAACACTTTCAGTCGCGACAAAAAAGTCGCCACAGAAAACACTTTCGGCGGCAACACTCTTGTCGCCGCTGAAAGACTTTTCAGCGGCGACAAATCCTTAAAAAAACTTTCAGCGGCGACAAATCCTTATAAGGATTGCCAGTGTCCACCGCAACAAGTTATAACATTGCCTATAATATTGTGCAGTAGACAGACACCACAAAACCAGCACGCAAAAGTAAATATATAGAGCAAGAAAAGAAATCTTCAAAGCAGGTGGCTCTAATTAGGAGATTTCACACAAACTTCAGGATTCAATGAAGTCGTCCAGCCTACTAGCCTCATCAAGCAACAATACTAAAGACTCTTTTATAGAAGCTAACTCCTTCTTGATGGTCTCAAGCTGAGCTTCGAGATTGGAAGTTTGGCCTTTGGTCTTCTCAACCTTCCTCGTGATGTCTTCTCCATCACCACATTCCTCAATGCATTTACACTCATAACTCACCCATGAAGCATCAAAGCCAGCCACTTCTAAGACGGTGCAGCACTTTCGAATGTAGTTTCGATCATCTTCTGTCAATTTGCCGCTCCGAGTAGTCCTTAGAATAGAAGTCACCTCAGCGAATAAGGAAAAGAAGGAAGAAGCAAACACTCTTCGCTACTTTGTGTTGAGCCAATTAAGAACTTGAGGATGCCGCTTCACCCCAGCCTCTAAATAAGGCAGCAACTGCGCGGAAATGTCCAACTCCTTAAAGTTATTGCAAAAATCTGCTATAGATGTTGTTGATGAAGAGACAGCTTTTGAAGCTTGGGAAGGAGATGGATCAATATCTGGTTAAATAAGTAAAGGAAATTAAAATCAGCAAATAGAATGACTCAGGTTTTTTTTTTTTTTGGGGGGGGGTGGGGTGGGGGATGTTATTTTCTATTTTCCTGTTTCCAAGAGACTGAAACCCCTTACATGCTCTATTTTTTGCCACTATGGAGTTGGATGTTTGACAATACAAGTTGTTTTCAAAAGTAAATTTTAGGTCATCTGATTTTCCAGCGTTAAAAAAAATAATTCATTCATTAAAGGAGGATATTCCTATACAAATTAATGAGTTATTAAAGGGAGCTAAAATAAAGTACAACCTTAAAAGCAATACTTGAAGTATTAAAATTAAACCTGTGAAATAAAAAGGAAGAAACTTCTACAAGCATTTGATCTTCTATGGCAACTTGGAGACTACAAAATAATATGATATCAATGCCTGTACCGTAAACCATGGTAGTACTCAATACAGTTAGAGCATCATGAACTGAGAAAATGCTGTTGGATTCATAAGTCTCTTGAGTCCCAATAGCTGAAAAGAAAAATAATTTCTTAGAGAAACTAAAAATTAAAATAACGCAAGACTTTGTCAAAATGGAAATAATTCTCTTTGCCACGTAAAAAGCTGCATTACTTTCTTTGTAGTGTGTAGCCATAGAAGTGGTGATCTGGTTGAAAAAAAATTCTTACTAAGATGAATATCTGAATCAGTGATTCGTCTAGTTGATTTCAATAAATACAATAAAGTTAGGATCTTTATCCAAAGACTTCTATAACTATTAGTATAACAATAAGTTATAGAGCAGTTATGACAAATTTGGAGACAACAAAACTGGATCCATTAAATCAAACCTTTCTCTTGTCTTATGGTAATGTCCCATGCATTTTGTGTAGCTTGAACGAAGGGTTTATCAATACTCTCTTGCATCACATGAGTCCCAGTAGCTGCACAAATAGGTAAAACAAACCAAAAAGGAGGAAAAAGAAATAGAATGAGAAGATTTTGGCAAAATACACATAATTTTTCCCTTTCAAAATGTATAATTTGCACTCATCAATACCTATGTCTTGAGTTGAGAGAGGGATTAACATATCTTCAGCATTTTCAACCAGTGGTCTTTGAATGGGTACATGGATCTCTTTAGTCCCTGTATCTAAACAACCATGTGCTTATTTTCCTTAGAGAAAAAATGGAACGACAAAAAATTTTGGAAAAAAATAAGCAAAATAAATTCCTTTGGAAAGTAATATTACTTTCTTTGTCATTATTCATAATAGATGATGTGGTCTGGACCAGCAAATTTCCACTTGGATGAAGTTGTAAACCCTGTGATCCATCTAGTGCATTCCAATTCACAAAAGTAATTAATAAACAGAAAGTATTATAATGGAGTTATTACATACTATAGAGCAATTTTAGATCATTTGGTGCATATTATATAGTCTGCAAAACAATAATGCAAGTACCTGCATCATTCTGTCAATGTTAATGAGTTATAAAGCATCACTAAATAAAGGAAATCGAAGCAAAACAATAAAGTTAAAGCTTGGGAGAAATTCCTATAGCATTTGAAACTAGAAAACATATCAAGGCAAAAAAAAAAAAAATCACAGCTTGTAGATTGCAAAACAAAATTAGTATCTATATCGTCAATCACGGAAGAGCTTAGTACATTTTGAGCAATAGGAACCAAGGCCTTCTTCAAGGTCTGCTGCGTCTCCGGATCTGAACGTAATTTTTCAGTAGTTTAGTTAAAATAAAAATAAATAAATGATTAGTCAATCAAAAGAATATAATAACAAGACCAATTAAACGGAGCATAATTGTTTTAGACATAATATTGTGTTTCAATAGAAAACAAGATTATAATAAAGCACTTCATTAATATGATATGTGACGGATGGGAACCACAGAATAATATTAATACCTATTTCTTGGAGTGAAGTATGAGTTAATGTGCTTTCAACAGCTTCAACGGATGATGTTTGAATGATGTCATTCATCTCTTCAGTCCTAATGGCTGAACAGGCAAATTTAGATCAGTGAAAAAAAAACAAAAGAGGCTACAAGATTTTTCAAATTAATATGAAATATTTTTCTTCTTCGAAAAAGTAAAAACCAAAAAAAGTTTACTGTTTTTGTCATCAATCATAAGTTCATAACCGATGTGTAGATTTCCACTTGCAACGAATTTTTTAAGTCTTATTCATCAAATGGATTTTAATACGTGGTAGAAAAAAAAATTAGATTTCAATACATATGAAAGAGCATTAAAATTCTAATTACATTGGGCTGCACAATAGTGGGGAACACAAAAAAATTTTATGATAAACAACCATAAAATAAGCTAATTCATGAAGAAAATCCTTTCAAAGTATTAAAGATTAATTTTTGAGATTTATTTAATAATTAAGAACTAACAACGTGAACCAATGTTTGAATCTCCACTGGGAGAGGTACTCACATTTAGTGCCTAATAATACCCTGAATAGGATTACCTCTAATAGGAGGGTTAGAGAATAAAATCATTTTATAATAGTAGACATTACTGTAGCATGAGAATAAAGTTATCACCGTTGTATTGTATATGTCCTTGTATTAGTACGTGGCTCTTGTATATTGGTTACCCTGTACCATTTCCCTCTATATAAACGTGCACAGTGGGAGCCAGTTATCCATCAAAAGCTTTTGGCTCGTTTCTCATTTTGTGATTTTCGTCTACTTTCCCTCTTGGTACCAGAGCCAGGGGTTTTCTATTTCACCAAACATGTCGGACTCTGTTTCCACCGGAACCAATGATACACCTACCAACATTACTTCAATACTGTTTCCAAAACTAACCCCCTCTTTCATAATCAAGCTACCTCAGTCAAGTAGGACCGAGAGAACTATTTATTTTGGGAGTCAATTATTCTACCTTTTATTGAAGGGAACAAACTTGAAACTCATGTCAATGGAGTTAGCCCTATTCCACAGAAGTTCATCCCAAAAGGTGATGAGGTGAAACTCAATCCTGCTTATGAAGAATGGTCTGCTGTTGACCGACTACTTGTTGGATGGCTCAGAAATACAATGAGCATGGAGATAGGAGCACAACTTTTTCATTGTCGTACTACTTAGGAGCTTTGGGATGGTGCTAAAGGTCTTGCAATGGCATCAACCAAAGCCAAAGTCATGGCGCTCAAGTCGGAGCTCCAGCGAACATGCAAAAATGGGTTGCATATGGACGAATTTCTGACTAAACTGAAGAACCTCACAGATCAACTTGCTTTGGCTGGCTCCCCTGTCTCCACTGAAGATCTCATTGCTCAAGCTCTAAATGGTCTTGATGCAGACTATAATGCCATAGTCATTAAACTTATTGATCAACCCAAACTCACATGGATTGATGCTCAAGCTTCGTTGTTAGCTTTTGAAAGCAGAATCGAACAGCTCAATCAGTTTTCATCTCTAACTATTCAACCTACTGTTAATGTTGCACAGTGAGATTATCACTGTCCTGAAGCTAGTCAAGGTTCATGGCGTGGTGGATGAGGGACCCGAAACAACAATCGCAGTCATGGGCGCTCATTCCAGAGCGTAAGTGGTGGTCGTCCCTATTGTCACCTGTGTCATCGCTTTGGTCATCTAGTCGCAAACTGTTACCATCACTATGACCGTTCCTTTCAGCCACCAACTAACTTCGGAAATGCATCATCAGGGGCCTTCTCTCCTTAGGCTTATTTTGCTTCACCAAGTACCATTTCTGATTCAACTTGGTATAATGATAGCGGTGCTAACTACCATGTTTCTCCATCTTCTAATCATTTAGATAAGACTCTTCCAGCTAGTAAGTGTCATCTTCTTACTGGCACTGGTGAGAAAACTCAAATCCAAGTTGTTGGTTCAACTACTATTCCTTGTTCTCCTTCTTCACTCAAGCTGAATGATATTCTGATAGTTCCCATTGCAACTAAGAAATTAATGAGTATTTATAAGTTGACTGAAGATAACATGGTTGATGTTTTGTTTACTGATCATGGCTGCATTGTGAAGGACAAAGTGACAGGACAAGTGTTGATTCAAGGGAAACCACGACAAGGAATGTATCCAATGAGGCATGATAATGACAGTCAAGCTCAAGCTCATTTTGTTGCTGCACTATCTTTTGCTCCAGAAGCATGTTTTTCTGATTTAGTTGAATGGCATCGTAAATTAGGACACCCTTGTGACAGAGTTTTGAGACAAATATTAAGTGATTGTAATGTGAAAATCAAGTCTAGAGACAAACTTTTTTGTGAAGCCTGTCAATATGGAAAATCTAAATATTTACCTTTTCCTATTTCTAGCTTTCATGCTTCTGCTCCTCTTGATTTAATTCATATTGATCTCTAGGGACCCTCACTTGTTCAATCTATTCAAGGGCATCGTTTTTATATTCACTTTGTAGATGATTTTAGCCATTACATGCAGTTGTATCCACTAAAGAGCAAAGGAGAAGCAATACATGCTTTCAATCAGTTCAAAGTTTTAGTTGAGAATCAATTTGGAACTAAAATTAAGAGCCTGCAATGTGACATGGGAACAGAGTACAAGCCCTTTGTTAATGTTGCTCAAACTCATGGAATTAATCTTAGATACACCTATCCATATACTTCTCAACAAAATGGCCGTGCTGAATGCAAACATCGGCACATTGTGGAAACTGCTTTAACTCTTTTGGCTCAAGCTCACATGCCTTTAACATACTGGGTTGATGCTTTTCAGGCTGTTGTATTTTTAATTAACAGACTCCCCACACCAGTTCTCAACAATAGCACTCCTCTGTTTAAACTCTTCAAAACAGAGCCAGAATATAAATCCTTGCAACCATTTGGGTGTGTGTTATCCCTGTCTTAAGCCTTATAATAATCACAAGTTTCAGTTTCATAGTAAAAAATGTGTGTTTCTTGGCTATGCTTCCCAACAAAAGGGGTATAAGTGCTTGAGCTCTACTAGACAGATTTACATTTCAAGGCATGTAGTTTTTGATCCTTCAGTTTTTCCCTTTGCAACAGGTTTTTTAAATCGCAAGTCTGGTGGGATTCAAAGTGAACATGTGGTCCCCATAGTCATTCACTCCATGCCTCATTCTACAGCAGCTTTATCCTCTGAGCAATCTGATACGCTGCCTCCCTCACCAAGACAAAGCTCACACACCACTATCTCACCAAGACAGAGCTCACCAGCCACTTTCATACCTCAACATTTATTGAGGAGTGATGATACCATTGCACAACCAGCTATCTCTTCTTCTGCATCGGGGAGCAACTCTTTATCATCTTCCTCTTCTTCAAGTGGTCCCACTAACATCACAGATCAACCTATTACTAATGTGCATCCTATGACCACTAGAGCTAAGAGTGGTATTTTCAAGCCCAAATACTTGTTTGTTGGGCTTTTATCTTTTGAAGATCCAAAGTCCTTAACTCAAGTAGCTGAGCCCAATAGCATTCCTGAAGCCTTAGCTTCACCTCAGTGGAGATAAGCTATGGTGAGTGAATTCGAAGCTCTCTAATGAAACCAAACATGGTATCTTGTACCCTATGATGGGTCTTCAAAGATCATTGATTGCCGATGGGTGTTTAAGACAAAATTCAATGCTGACAGCTCTTTGTTGAAGCACAAAGCCAGGTTGGTGGCCAAGGGTCTTCAACAAACTCCTGGTGTTGATTTCAGTGAAACTTTCAGCCCGGTAGTTAAAACAGCCACCATTAGAGTTGTTCTTACAATTGTTGTCACTTTTAATTGGGAAGTAAGGCAGTTGGACATCAATAATGCTTTTCTCAATGGATTCCTTCGAGAAGATGTGTATATGTGTCAACCACAAGAGACCAAATCATGTATGTAAGCTTGTCAAAGCGATTTATGGATTGAAATAGGCTCTACAGGCTTGGTATGAGAGATTAAGAATGACTTTGATGCAGTGGGGTTTCAAGAATGCTCAAAGTGATATGTCCCTATTCATGCTTCGTACTAACAGACTCACAGTATTCATTTTGATTTATGTTGATGATATTTTGATTACTGGGAATAATTCGTCCTATTTAAGGTCCTTTGTGCATAGGCTAAATTCTCT